TTGTTCTCTATAGTCCAAATTGGACGGGTCTTTTTAACTAAGTCATCCAATCAAATGATAGAAATTAAACACTTAATTTGATATTTATCTCACATTGTAAATCTTTCTTTTTAATTGGTGATCAAATAATAAAATTTTATAAATTACTATCACTTATAAATAATTATGAAATAACATTACGAAGTAGACATGTCCTCAATATTATTGTTGTTGTTCATTAGTTGTGGGTTACAAAATTGAGTCCTCACTATGATTTATGGTGGAGGTGATCATAATGTTTGGCAATTGCTAACATTTTTGCAAAATCTTGGCAGTGCAGTGGGGATAAGGTGTGACAGGTTTTTTTTCTTTTTCTTTTTAACGTGTGACTGGTTGTACCAGATATAATTGTCGGGGAATCTTTCATTCCTTACAAAAAAAATAATACAGCACCGGATTATCTGCCACGTAGCAGCCAACGTATTTTGATACTACAATAAATCCTCATCAACCGAAAATGGGCTGCCCGAATTACACGTTCGAACCTTACATCTCACCAAACCATCCATCTCATCAACCTTGTCAACCAAAAGTTTTCATTAAATTATAAATTGGCCTCAAAAGATTGAAAAAAAAAAATTACAAAAAGCATAAAGAGTTAATAAAAAATCATACAAAATTATATATATACATATATATTTGTGTAAACTTAGAATTAGTTTTTATATACGTTTAATTATATCATTTGGAGCTAAAATAAAAGATAATTTAGATTATATTTCTGAATTAGAAAATGAGTTAAATAGATTAAACTCTTTTCTGGTTATTATTTCTAGAAAATTTGTAATAACTTATAGTCAGAGAATTGCTAGTATTAAAGATAAAATATCCTTAGAAAAGGCAATTGTAGATTACCAACGAAAGTTTTACAAGAGTTAACATTGAATTAAATTCACAAACCCGCAATTGAAATTGGTATCAAAGTCCGATTTTTCAGCTGTGCCAATTACATTTGCATTAGGCCTCTTTTAGAAATCCAAAAAAAAAAAAGCCACATCTTTTTTTCGAATTTTTTTATCTTTTTTGTGATTTTTTTTTTCAAAATTATGTCAAAATTTTACTTTTTCAGTCATTCTTTTCGAGATTAATCTAATATTTTTTCTCTAAAAAATTTCAAAAAATTAAAAATGCTAAAATAAGACAAAAAATATTGCTTATTTTTGCATATTTTTGTCATTTTTGGATTTTTTTAAAAAAAAATTATAAATTTCCGGTTCTTCTTGTCGAGTTGAATCTAGAAACTTTAAATTTTTTGAAATTTTTTAAAAAAAGTTCACTCAAAATGAAAATAAGCAAAAAAAAATAAATAAAAATAAAGTAAGCCAAAAATTAAGCAAACCCAAAAAGTATCAAATATAGTGAAGAAGTAGAATCTGATAATCTAAATAATAGTATTTCTTTTCAAATAATAATAGAATAAAATAATAACTTAATTAGGTTATTAAAAGAAATTAGCAAAAATTTTAGAAATAATCAATTAGAAATAATAAACGAAATTAGACATTTAATACCATATTCAAAAAAACAAGAAGCTATTCTTGAAGAAAAATAAAAAGAAGTAGATTTTTATCCTTACCTATATAAAAGAAATAATTCAGAAGAACCATTCGAATTAGTTTCACTTGAAAAAGAAAACAATGGAATTAAGTATATATAATCTAGAACAGTTAGAAAAAATGGTTGAAAAATAAGATGATAGTAAAATAAAATATGAAATAACATTAGAAATAACTGAATAATTAAATAAAGTAGATGAAGAAATAAATAATAATATAATATAGCTAGAAAAAATTAAATAAAGTAGTTGAAGAAATAATAGAAAAAATAAATAATAATAGAATAGAACTAGAAGAAGGTGTATATAAACAACTAAGATTAATCAGTTTGGGGGAAAATGGAACACATTCCCCTTAAAGACTTAGAACAAATAATGAAAAAATGTGATGTAGAAAAAGAAAAAGAAAATAATATCTTAGAAGATTTCGAAGAAACTAATAACGTTAATGATACTGAAATGACAGTGGTAAAACAAGAAAGAAGTAGTCCTTCCATCCTAACTAATCCAAATCATCCAGATTTTAAAAAATTTACCAAACAACAAGTGGAAGATGATTCTAAAAATTATGACTATAGGAGAAAAACGAGACACTATAGTTATCTAAATAGAGGATCATATACTAGGGGAACACCTAACTATGCAAACTTTACCCCTAGAAAGGAAGTATTTTTAAGAAAAATACCACTAAAATAGAAAAGTAATACATGATATTTATTAGATATCGATTGTGTTACAAATATAAGTAAAGTAATAAAATAATGGACGAGAGATATACACCATATCTTGAATATCCATAGTAGCAGCTAAAGTGTACAAAGTTTTCTAAATTATACTGAATATAATTTCGTAGGCATAGTAGTAAGCTGGTATGATAACTTGAGAGAAAGCGACAACGAAAAATTAACCGCAGAAACTACTCCAAAAGGTATGTTATGTAAAATATATCGAAGATCAATTCGTAGGAAAAAGAGTGGGATGAAAATAAAAGAAAAATTGATTGTGTTAGAAAATTAAGTAATATAGAAATATGTAATATAGAATATACATAAAATTATATATGCGAATAATCCTATTATTGTTATCAAATATGTAGAAATAAAATTAATTTTACTATATTTTTCCATAAATTACCATATCCTATAAATGTTAATATAGAAGAAAAATATGAAAAATTGTTAAAAGAATTAGGAGATGTCACAGGCAATGCGTTGGGTCATAGATTTAGATACCTAAGGGAATAAATAGAACAAGAATAAATGAAAAAAGAAACAGAGAAGAAAAATGTTAGAAATTGGGCGCCCATGTGGCATGACCCTTAGAACCTTTTGAACCTCATCCAAATGGGTTTTGAATTTGAATTCAAACCTATTTGGATGAGCCACTCAGGATATATATCTATCATATCATGATATGGATAGATGATATAGATATCAGATATTATCTCATTTAACCAATGGATAAATGAGATAAATATAATATATATCTGATATATGGTTATGGGTAACCAAGAGAGAAAACAACGTAGGTTTTGTTTTCTACCCATAAACTGACTCTCTCCCAAAAACAACGATCAAGTCATTTTTGCACTGTGGTTTGTGTGGGTGATATTCACCATTGTAATATCACCCCACTGCTGGGATTGATTGATTAGATTCTGGAAGCACGTGATTTATCCATGAGGTTCTATCATCGAAAGGTATGATATGATTATTTTATCCGCTGCGTAATTGTTGGATTTTTTATTTACATTTGGTATTAAACGTCACGAAAACAATTAGCGGCGTTTTTGATAGCGACTAAAAACCTAATTTCCAGCAGTGTTAATAATAAATTGGAACTCTATTCCTTATTTTTCTTTTTGTGTTGATCAAAAAGAAATTAAATAAATAAAATAAAATTAAAATGGAAGACAATAGAATTCACAATGATTATTGAATCCACAATTTAAATTTGTTAATTTCCATACATTTTTATACTGAAACCTTGACGTATCTTCTCTTTCCATCTGTGATTTGATCAAATCCAAATCGGCTTGTATAAAAATAAAATAATGTTTTTGATGAGTATATTTAAATTGTGTTTAAATTTGAATTTATGAATAGAGAGAAAAGTAGAAGAAAAAAAAAAATGAGTTAGAATTAGAATTTATTTTTCATTTCACTTTTTCTGTCTTACAACAAAATTCAATATTGAAACAGAACGTGATTTTGTCAATTAATTTTTCTACTCACAGAAAAAGAAGAGGAAATTTGAAATTACGGTGATAGGGCCATTGGTCAATGAACGCTCATTTTAATATTCCCTTTGGCAGGAAAATGAATGGCACACCATAGTTTACGGGACACTCACATGCTAACGTAGAATTTTCATCATCAAAACATTACTTTAGGCAACAATTTTGTTTAATAATGCAATACTTTCTGGCCAACAACATGGTTTACTTATATAATATACATAATTTATTGTGCGTACATTATATTTTAGTTAAATATCTTTCAGTGACTTCATCAAAATGGAACCAAATTCTCACTGGTACTAACATTTTTTATTATTTTTATTTTAATGTGATGATGATTCCCCATTCACCAAAACTAATGTTTCTTTATTTCCTCCATGTGCAATTGCAGCTAAGGCACTATAAAAGATTTCAATCAACTAACCATTGTGTGTATTTGTGACTTATCTATATCTATTCAACAAAGCTTCCATGATGGTCTAGTTCTATGAACTAATAATGCACTCTAGGTCATACGAGGGAGGTGGGACTCATCATGTTCGTGTTGACATGAAAATTCTTGATATTTTATATAGTTTAATCCTATATATATATATATGTGTAAGATTTGGGTTGTTTTTTGAGGTCATTTTACTTTAATTATTTAACTTTACTAATTTACTAACATCCAACCATATAACATCAGTTAAAAAACTAATTCCATCTTTGTTTATGTAGATTTCCTCAAAATAAATTACATGGTTGAGTTTGAACTCCCATATTGGGAATTTTTGTCATTAGTTGTTTGTTAGGCAAAACAGATCATATGAGACAGTTGAAGGATCATTCAATTTCGAATGAACAACTTGTGAATAGGGGGTCTTTCATGTTGAATCATCGAAATCATAGTGAACCCTCAAAATCATAACTCCATTGCCTAAACCTCCACAGGAGTAATACTAAATTTGCAGCGTACACAATCTGGCTGACTCCCAACAGCAAGTATACAACTCAGAGCTTATATGACTAACAAACAGCTCATTCAGTTATCAAGATAATCATCTTATTCTTCGAGAGCCACATATTCCTCTGTTAACCCATCTGTTGCAACTGTTATAATATATAATGCCTGCATATCTAGAAATTAAATTGCAACTGTTAACACATCTGTTGATGCAATTTTTTTTCTTTGTTATTTAATCAGGCTCATTGCTGCTTGTCTGAAATTTAGGTTATTTAACTTATAAAAAAAATGATTTGATTTTGTAGGATCAGTTTGATCTACAAGGCAATCCGAGTGATGTAGCAAGGACTTTAAACACACAGTTTGGTCGGCGATTGAGTAGCTTCACCTATAGGTTGCACAAACAATACAAGCAACTTAAGGATGCAAGAGGGGAGGAGTACGCGAGAAGCCACCCACCTACAAGTGTTACTCTTAATCAATGGACATCTCTAATTGACAAGAAGTGGAATAGTAAAGAATTCATGGTATAATGTTTTATGTTAATTGTCAAAAATTAATTTTCTTCTTACTAATGTTAAGTTTTGTTGTTTTTATTGGTGTTTCAATCGTGTAGGAACAATCACTAACTAATGTGAATAATAGGATGCAAATGAAAACAAAACATAGATGTGGATCAAAATCAATCCCGGTTAGGGTGCACAGCTCGGTGTGTTCTGCTATTTTATTTTATCAGATTAGTAGGCTTTGTTATTTAAATATTTGAAATAACATTCAAAAACAAATGAATCAGATAATTGCAAATGGAGAAGTTCCTGATTTGGCAAAGTTTTACAAGTCCATCCACTATAATTCGAACACACATGAATGGATTTCGTCGGAGAGCCAAGCTAATTATGTATGTACAAGGCAATGCATATTAATTTTGATAAAATTATTTATTTGCTTTGTAGGGTAGAATAACTAATAATTGTTCGATTTATTTTAAATTAACAGGACAACATGATAAAGACGCAAGCCGAACACCTCTCGCAGACTGGTGTGATCCCTTTAAGCCAAGAGGAGTTGTCAGTTAAGGTACTTAAGCCAAGGTCAGGTTATGTGAAAGGACTCGGCTTGAGGCCTTCTTCTTCTATGAAGACTATTGTTGCACCTGCTGAAAATAGTGACTATGTTCAACGCCTTGAGATGCAAATAGCACAGCAAAATGAACAAATAGCAAGGTTTCAAAAGTCAGAGAAGAAACAAAGCAAGAAGATACAAAGTATCATAGAGTGTTTGACGCAGAAAGGTATCACGGGAAATTTTGAGAATGGGGAAAGTTCAGATTCTGATGAACAAGCTTCTTGGTTAGTATATTATGTTTATATGTTAATTTAGTAGAACATTTCTTCTTTAACTAGGGTAGAATAAAAACTACTTTTGGCATTTAGGCACAAGGTCCCGGGAAAATAGTGAAGTATGCATCTAAAGGCCCGAAAAACATCACAAACACCTTGAGATTATCAGAAATTATCACAAACACTTTGGGAGGAATCAACATAAGTTGTGAAAACTTACAGAACAATCATAGGACTCTCGGTTGGAAAACATTTAGGCTTGAAAATAGGCCGTTAGGGAGTAAAATCTTGAAATAGTCGTTAAAAAGCCAAGAAATATCATGAACACCTTGGGAGGAACTAATGTAAGTTGTAAAAATTTACGGAACAAGCACGGTAAAAATTTGGTTTAAAATTTACTTTGAAATTTTTATTTTTTTTCTTATAGGTTGCATATACATTATGTCCTTACAGCATCACATGACAGACGTGGTCGTGGTCCAACACGCGGCATACAAACCCAACGCATTGTCCAGAAAAATGGAAAGATGTTGGTTCCTGTACCTGAACATTTCCGTGCGCCAGTGGGAGATCAAGCCTCTAAGTTGGCCTCCAAGATTGGCATAGAGGTTCGAACGCAATTACCAGACTTGAGCATTTGTAGGTGGAATAAGGTTCACGATGCTGATAAGAAGCCGATGATCCAACGCTTGGAGGTAATTATTGTCAAGTAAAAGAGGCATGACAGATGAAAATTGAAATTGAAATTGAAATTGAAATTGAAATTGAAATTGAAATTGAAATTGAAATTGAAATTGAAATTGAAATTGAAATTGAAATTGAAATTGAAATTGAAATTGAAATTGAAATTGAAATTGAAATTGAAATTGAAATTGAAATTGAAATTGAAATTGAAATTGAAATTGAAATTGAAATTGAAATTGAAATTGAAATTGAAATTGAAATTGAAATTGAAATTGAAATTGAAATTGAAATTGAAATTGAAATTGAAATTGAAATTGAAATTGAAATTGAAATTGAAATTGAAATTGAAATTGAAATTGAAATTGAAATTGAAATTGAAATTGAAATTGAAATTGAAATTGAAATTGAAATTGAAATTGAAATTGAAATTGAAATTGAAATTGAAATTGAAATTGAAATTGAAATTGAAATTGAAATTGAAATTGAAATTGAAATTGAAATTGAAATTGAAATTGAAATTGAAATTGAAATTGAAATTGAAATTGAAATTGAAATTGAAATTGAAATTGAAATTGAAATTGAAATTGAAATTGAAATTGAAATTGAAATTGAAATTGAAATTGAAATTGAAATTGAAATTGAAATTGAAATTGAAATTGAAATTGAAATTGAAATTGAAATTGAAATTGAAATTGAAATTGAAATTGAAATTGAAATTGAAATTGAAATTGAAATTGAAATTGAAATTGAAATTGAAATTGAAATTGAAATTGAAATTGAAATTGAAATTGAAATTGAAATTGAAATTGAAATTGAAATTGAAATTGAAATTGAAATTGAAATTGAAATTGAAATTGAAATTGAAATTGAAATTGAAATTGAAATTGAAATTGAAATTGAAATTGAAATTGAAATTGAAATTGAAATTGAAATTGAAATTGAAATTGAAATTGAAATTGAAATTGAAATTGAAATTGAAATTGAAATTGAAATTGAAATTGAAATTGAAATTGAAATTGAAATTGAAATTGAAATTGAAATTGAAATTGAAATTGAAATTGAAATTGAAATTGAAATTGAAATTGAAATTGAAATTGAAATTGAAATTGAAATTGAAATTGAAATTGAAATTGAAATTGAAATTGAAATTGAAATTGAAATTGAAATTGAAATTGAAATTGAAATTGAAATTGAAATTGAAATTGAAATTGAAATTGAAATTGAAATTGAAATTGAAATTGAAATTGAAATTGAAATTGAAATTGAAATTGAAATTGAAATTGAAATTGAAATTGAAATTGAAATTGAAATTGAAATTGAAATTGAAATTGAAATTGAAATTGAAATTGAAATTGAAATTGAAATTGAAATTGAAATTGAAATTGAAATTGAAATTGAAATTGAAATTGAAATTGAAATTGAAATTGAAATTGAAATTGAAATTGAAATTGAAATTGAAATTGAAATTGAAATTGAAATTGAAATTGAAATTGAAATTGAAATTGAAATTGAAATTGAAATTGAAATTGAAATTGAAATTGAAATTGAAATTGAAATTGAAATTGAAATTGAAATTGAAATTGAAATTGAAATTGAAATTGAAATTGAAATTGAAATTGAAATTGAAATTGAAATTGAAATTGAAATTGAAATTGAAATTGAAATTGAAATTGAAATTGAAATTGAAATTGAAATTGAAATTGAAATTGAAATTGAAATTGAAATTGAAATTGAAATTGAAATTGAAATTGAAATTGAAATTGAAATTGAAATTGAAATTGAAATTGAAATTGAAATTGAAATTGAAATTGAAATTGAAATTGAAATTGAAATTGAAATTGAAATTGAAATTGAAATTGAAATTGAAATTGAAATTGAAATTGAAATTGAAATTGAAATTGAAATTGAAATTGAAATTGAAATTGAAATTGAAATTGAAATTGAAATTGAAATTGAAATTGAAATTGAAATTGAAATTGAAATTGAAATTGAAATTGAAATTGAAATTGAAATTGAAATTGAAATTGAAATTGAAATTGAAATTGAAATTGAAATTGAAATTGAAATTGAAATTGAAATTGAAATTGAAATTGAAATTGAAATTGAAATTGAAATTGAAATTGAAATTGAAATTGAAATTGAAATTGAAATTGAAATTGAAATTGAAATTGAAATTGAAATTGAAATTGAAATTGAAATTGAAATTGAAATTGAAATTGAAATTGAAATTGAAATTGAAATTGAAATTGAAATTGAAATTGAAATTGAAATTGAAATTGAAATTGAAATTGAAATTGAAATTGAAATTGAAATTGAAATTGAAATTGAAATTGAAATTGAAATTGAAATTGAAATTGAAATTGAAATTGAAATTGAAATTGAAATTGAAATTGAAATTGAAATTGAAATTGAAATTGAAATTGAAATTGAAATTGAAATTGAAATTGAAATTGAAATTGAAATTGAAATTGAAATTGAAATTGAAATTGAAATTGAAATTGAAATTGAAATTGAAATTGAAATTGAAATTGAAATTGAAATTGAAATTGAAATTGAAATTGAAATTGAAATTGAAATTGAAATTGAAATTGAAATTGAAATTGAAATTGAAATTGAAATTGAAATTGAAATTGAAATTGAAATTGAAATTGAAATTGAAATTGAAATTGAAATTGAAATTGAAATTGAAATTGAAATTGAAATTGAAATTGAAATTGAAATTGAAATTGAAATTGAAATTGAAATTGAAATTGAAATTGAAATTGAAATTGAAATTGAAATTGAAATTGAAATTGAAATTGAAATTGAAATTGAAATTGAAATTGAAATTGAAATTGAAATTGAAATTGAAATTGAAATTGAAATTGAAATTGAAATTGAAATTGAAATTGAAATTGAAATTGAAATTGAAATTGAAATTGAAATTGAAATTGAAATTGAAATTGAAATTGAAATTGAAATTGAAATTGAAATTGAAATTGAAATTGAAATTGAAATTGAAATTGAAATTGAAATTGAAATTGAAATTGAAATTGAAATTGAAATTGAAATTGAAATTGAAATTGAAATTGAAATTGAAATTGAAATTGAAATTGAAATTGAAATTGAAATTGAAATTGAAATTGAAATTGAAATTGAAATTGAAATTGAAATTGAAATTGAAATTGAAATTGAAATTGAAATTGAAATTGAAATTGAAATTGAAATTGAAATTGAAATTGAAATTGAAATTGAAATTGAAATTGAAATTGAAATTGAAATTGAAATTGAAATTGAAATTGAAATTGAAATTGAAATTGAAATTGAAATTGAAATTGAAATTGAAATTGAAATTGAAATTGAAATTGAAATTGAAATTGAAATTGAAATTGAAATTGAAATTGAAATTGAAATTGAAATTGAAATTGAAATTGAAATTGAAATTGAAATTGAAATTGAAATTGAAATTGAAATTGAAATTGAAATTGAAATTGAAATTGAAATTGAAATTGAAATTGAAATTGAAATTGAAATTGAAATTGAAATTGAAATTGAAATTGAAATTGAAATTGAAATTGAAATTGAAATTGAAATTGAAATTGAAATTGAAATTGAAATTGAAATTGAAATTGAAATTGAAATTGAAATTGAAATTGAAATTGAAATTGAAATTGAAATTGAAATTGAAATTGAAATTGAAATTGAAATTGAAATTGAAATTGAAATTGAAATTGAAATTGAAATTGAAATTGAAATTGAAATTGAAATTGAAATTGAAATTGAAATTGAAATTGAAATTGAAATTGAAATTGAAATTGAAATTGAAATTGAAATTGAAATTGAAATTGAAATTGAAATTGAAATTGAAATTGAAATTGAAATTGAAATTGAAATTGAAATTGAAATTGAAATTGAAATTGAAATTGAAATTGAAATTGAAATTGAAATTGAAATTGAAATTGAAATTGAAATTGAAATTGAAATTGAAATTGAAATTGAAATTGAAATTGAAATTGAAATTGAAATTGAAATTGAAATTGAAATTGAAATTGAAATTGAAATTGAAATTGAAATTGAAATTGAAATTGAAATTGAAATTGAAATTGAAATTGAAATTGAAATTGAAATTGAAATTGAAATTGAAATTGAAATTGAAATTGAAATTGAAATTGAAATTGAAATTGAAATTGAAATTGAAATTGAAATTGAAATTGAAATTGAAATTGAAATTGAAATTGAAATTGAAATTGAAATTGAAATTGAAATTGAAATTGAAATTGAAAGTGTGATGATGTGTATAATTATTGTTTATATGCATTGTGTTGTGTTGGAGGAGATATGAAATACAGTTCTGAATAAAAGAATATTACAGTCCGAATAATATACAAATTCCTAATTAATTA